GATGTTCATTCCCCTCTGTGAAGCCTGAAGTCAACTACAGGGCTAATGATAACTATCAAAATGCCTGCCATTTGATATAAATAAATAAACCTCTGTTTAACTTAAACCTCCATCCTGATCATGAGTAGCTTCCTGCGTGTACACGCTTTATCCGCAATATACGTACTGAATAAACGTGCTCCGTGCTACACGTCTGCTTCCTTTATAGCTGGGCCATGGCTTAGCTGGTTCTGAAAGTCTAGATAGAAGTAGGAGAATCTGCCATAGAGGTTTCTGAGTCAGTCAGGCTTTGCTAAGGTAGCAATCCGCTACAGGTCTCTGCTACAAATTCCAACATTTTCCTACAGTAGAGGGATCACGTCAAGAGCTGCTTAAGCACAAAAGAAGAATATATCCGGCCTCTTTATAATTAATCAACGCGGAAGAGATCGAATAGGGGGTCTTTTGAGAGACAGATACAAAATTGCGCTAGTTTAGTAAAGCATGTTTATGTAAATCCTTAGAACAGATACTTAAAACACTTGACCTAGGTCCGGTAAGATTGTATTCCCAATTATAAGCAGACAACAGTGGCTAATAGTAAATTGAGTTAGTAAGAAATAATGAAAAAATATTTATATAGAATTTTGAGATATCAAAAGTTTTGAACATTAAACAAAACCAGTTGCAGTAAATACAGATAGAAAGCAATAATTTAGGAATTTAAGTAACAGAAACCGAATGAGGTTATGCTAATTAGTACATGTGCAACTATAGGAGAGAAGATAAATCAATGATCATAATGAACGAATTTCCTTACAAAATGCTCAATGAGATAAATTCGTAATATGAGAAAAAATCCGAATGAATTAACGAAACTAGTTACATGGTACACCAAATACATGCAGATTTACAATAAAACTTACAATAAAGCCTGAGTTAGGAGAGGCACCAAGTCGAGCAGCGCGCATTGCTTTATAAATGTCTCTAAGACTGAAATCTGTGACACAAAGAAGATATGCCATTGTTATTGAAACGCTTCGTGATATTCCACAGGCACTGCGGGCAAGTTGAATTCAAAACTACATATCATACCAATGAATAAGCACATTTCCATGGTTAACTCGAGCGCCATGTATGAAGTCAATAGCATCTGTGAAAAATTTTGATATATCAGCTTCAGGAGAGTCTCGAATAATAAACTGACGGTGAGTACGTTTGATATCCTGAAAACAGAGCACTTATCTAAATTTGCCGATTATTATCATCCACGAAAATATGGCAAGAGAACTCACTAAGTTGAGGGGATATTGAAAGGCACTGCATATATGCGTAATCTCAAAATCATTTAATTCCCTCTCAGACCTAGCACTGGTTAAACCTCCGACATAAATGCCGGGAATAATTGACGACATTGCACCTCCCATTCCGAGAAACGAAAATGTCAAACTTTGCGTGACTGTAATTTAAGGACCTCGTGCATAAATCTAAAATGTTATAACAATTATCCATTCATTAGTTAGGATCAAAAAATATTTCCAGCAAATTGATTTTAAATTATCTAGTTTTCAATCATTATTGAGTTTGAAAATTAAATTTTAGATTTCCTACTGATGCATCTTGACTCAAGTTTGCTGTTTTAGTATCGAATTAAAGTACCATCATTAGAATACTTAGAAATGGCACTTGCTCTGCAATATTCACCTTTAAAATGCTTTTATTACCACTTAGTGGTTTAATCTTAATATACTATTCCTTTTTCAATTTGTTTACCTAATTCGAATGAAAAATTAGAACATGATGCGGAATAAACTCGATTTACTTAATTCATGATAGACAAAAAATTATAGTATAAACATGCATAATCATGGTACCAATAAACCGTTGGAAATGTTGGTTTTTCCTAATATACTGAAATGGTTATTGCGAAACGGCAATTTTTATTTTATATTTTAAATGTGCTAAATGGGAATGAAACCGAGGCTCAATAGGAACAATTAGCACGAATTCATCTTTTAGTATCTTACGATGCCCCAAAATATATCACTTTGTTAAGAAGTTACTATTCACATTAATCTAAGTTACTCTTTCGATTTTGCGAAAAATATTCTAACATGAAATCGTGACTTATATAGACTATAATTAATGACGACTGTTTTTCGGATACGATCAGTATTTTTGTCTGAAAATAATCAATTTCCAAAAGATATTTATTTTTGGAACCTTCCTACTCGTCTGAGCGCCTAACGTGTTATGAAAATAATCGGTGTTGCACCATGTCACGCTTTACAAGTGGCCTGTTTAACTCGGATAAATGACCCTATGGTTGGAGTGAGTACTGCTTCAGACCAAGAGAATGTAATATTCTCCACGGATGTTTTCGGATTTCCATCACAATTGCTAAGCACTATAGTTATAGAGAGAGTTCAGTAGTCAATTAACTAATGTTCGAAAGCGACCTCAAGTATTAATTTCCCATTAAAACTGGAAATGGTTATTCTACTAACACAACTTTCACGAGGAAGGCAAGCACTATTCACCTTGTTAACGAGAATTAGCCAGTACGTTTGACCCACCAAATGAATGGATGTACACAAGGGCACCGATGCAGATATGGACGCTGACCACCCCACTACCGCTAGACATAAAACGTTTCCAACTGCAGCTATTATTAAGAATATTTCCACAGCCCATTTTAGATCAATCAAATAACTCAGCAAAGTAGCCAATAGTAGATTCAAAGACGCCATCTTAATCTGTACAATAACTCAAATACATTACATATGACAAAATAAATAGTGAATTCGTTAAGAACAACTACTGTCAGCATCACTACTGCTAGCATTTTCGTTGCCATTCTGATCATCATCACCATCATCGTTAACTTCCATCAGTCCCGAGAGAAATGACCTCCTCTCCTTTTCAGCACCAATTGAAATGACTTTTGCCTTTGCACTGCGTCCACTGGCAGATTTTCCCGTCGGTTCTTCTAAATGGGATTGAGCTTCTTCGGCAAGATGTGAGAGAGACCAGAACTTGAGACTGGATGCGAGTGGGAGACCACTAGCCAAAATAATTTCCGAAGGGTCGTGTCCTGGAGACAGCGCCAAAGTCATACAATCGCCACCGCTTGCGTCTATTCCAGAGACGCCTTCAGCCGTATGCCATCCAATACAGTTGAGCATTTGGTTAGGGAGAATATGAACAGGGCTATAGGGGAAAAATAGTTACCATTGACTGCCTTGGACACATGATAAGAGAATCTCAAATACGTAGAACTATCCTTGGGATGGGGTACGCTACTAAACACTGTTATTGAGGAGTTGGAAATAAGCGAAGCTAACGACCTTGACGACAAATAGGAAAGTGTTAAACCAACGTGGGCATGCAGTGGAACAAATAGAAGCCGAGAATACTCAACAGTGAATATGCAGAAAATTTGGAATCGGCACAATAAAAAACACCTCATTGTGATTTTGATGTTAGCGAAAAATGCAAAGCGAGATGGGAAATCACTAATAGACAAAAAGAGCCTTTGTTAGACCTTTCCATTTTTCCAAAAAATAAATATATCAATTCATTCGACCTGCCTCCTAGATATTGACATTGAACTATCATATTCATCATATCATATTCATATTGAGTGAGCGCTGTTATGCTTGCCTTATATTGCTTCTCTTGTCTGTAAAATGATGTTACTAAATTGGTCAATAAACTAAGACCAAGTTTCAAACCAATCAGAAAAATTAAACTTTAGGACATTAGCCAGAAAAATGAGCGCATCAAGAGAATTCGAAAAATCCAAGGTCCCCGGATTAGAAAAAGACTGTAGACGTCTTTGTTCAAACGTTTGAACCGTAACTCTTAAATCTGATAATTGGATATGTTAAGTTCGCGACTTCTTTTATTGATTCGCTAATAAATCAGTGATCTTTGTGTACTGATCATCTTAATTTACATGCAATCCGGATCAAATGATGCCGATGTTATCACCCGCCTGATTGGTCACTGAAAGCAGTGTGCATTTGGGATGACCTCTTAAAGAATATAAACGGTCACTAATTGGAGAAGGAACAAGTTTTAGGTCACAACATAAAAACTACAGGTTTATACTTTCAGGACTTCACGACATCTCACTGACTTTTACTATCTATTTTATTGCCTGGTCACTCCTCTTCACCAAAATAAAACTTCTAACCTCACCTATTTTTGTTTCCTTGATAACTGCAGAGTAAACTTATGAGACTATTTTTCTCTTACATCGTAAAGAACAGCCGCGATAACAAAAAATGGATAAAATGAATGGGATAAATTTGATTACCTGATAGCACCATCATCCGTTGCAATAACGACAGTATCCTCTGAAAATTTAACAATCTTTTCTACTGAAGGACAACCAGCATCGTCAAAGAATTTGATGCCCGATCGATGATCGACGCGAGTTCGACTGGTGCGAACCGGAAAACGATCACAGTTGCTGCCGAATTCGCCCCAATTGTAGGTCATTACCAAACCTTCATCGGTGCCCAGGAGAACCTGAAATATACCAAAAATTAATCACCTAAATAAAACATTCAATGATACTAACAACAAATAAAACTTTCTACTAAAGAAGCATTGTTATTTTATTAAGAGATAGCGAGAATCAGAATCCACCGATGCCAAATCAGACACTTGGTTTAATCTTCTTTAGTACACTATAGGTTTACAATTAGATCCCACGTTATGTAAGTTATTGATTCACACATAAGTTTGAAATAGCATCTATAAGCAAAAAATAATAACTCGACAAACAAACGGCAGTTTACTGACGCCGTAATATACTGCCTTTTCATGACGATAAAAGAAAGAAAAATTAACATGACAGAAAAAATGAAAAGGAAGTTTAAGGTATGAAATTCATAAATAGGCATTCGGATGAACAGTACCAAAAGGACATCCATTCATTAAGAAAATAGAGTGAATAGAATTAATAAAAATACAGACAATTTGTTGGTGCAATTTGAATTAAATAGCGAAACCATACCTTCTTCCCATCTTTGACGATGCAAACTGATCTAGCACTAAATCCAAGGGGTTCAGAGACCAGCTCAAGTCGTCTTCGACGAATATTATAGGTAACCAGACAACCTGAATCCACTGCTGCGAGCAGAGTTCCCTGATGATCTCCCCCAACAGCCAAATCATTAATTCCAAGTAGATCATTGTCCATTTCTTCCGTATTTGGTTTGATTGTAAAACAATTACCACCTTTCTCCCGATCATCCCACATCTAAATGAGCCATTAGTAGTATTCAAATAACAGACCTTAATTAAGCCGTTATCATCTCCAGTTATAAAACGGTGATCAGCGACTGTAATAAGAGAGGAATAAGGAGAAGAATCTTCTGCTGGGGTGAAGTGACAAATTCGTTGTTTAGTTTCCAAGTCGTGGACTTTAATACAGGCCTGTTTGGAAGCTGTAATACATGTTGACGAAGAGAATGGGCTAACTGATATGCATCTTATATTTTTATGCCAACGTTTTTGGTATAATGTTTCGGTATTGCTGGTTGAACAATCAAGACTAAGGAAAAATGAAGAAATATATAATCATACAGTCTTATACGGCCACCAGTGGTTCCGACGACAAGGACTTTCTTGTTAATAGATGGAACGAAGCATAAAGAGGAAATACCATCAATACCTATGGGCAGCTGAAGATTACCTGGGACATGTCTCGCATCTCCGTCAGCGCACATGTTTTACAGAACAAAAGTGGCGCTCCAGGATCAAGGTTAGAAATACTTTAAAGTTACTCACTTATTTTAAGTCCATTTTCTTTATTTCTTAGAGAAAAAATTATAAAAATAATAGGTTTTACATAACTATAAGCTCTTAACAACAAATTTTTCAGGTTTGGAATAATACCGGTTATAAATAGTAAAATAAACCTAGGACTAATATTTTGTTAAAATATTTTTTACATGATCTAAATTTAGATTTGGTTTGTCTTTAGTCAAAATCTAGTTATTTAATTGATGTTTTCTTAAAATTTAATGAATAATTTTACATTAATTTGTTACTGTATGGGTCAGCAAGGCAATAATTCCATAATGTACCATTCGCAAATCGAGTTTTGACGAAAATTATACTGAATAAACGATATAAATATTCTTATTCTTTAATCGAAATAAGGTGAAAATCATAACATAGTCATTAGATTACTTATTTTGATATATATTTGTAGCGGATTTCTACGTTAGTAAAGCCTGGCTTAAGTCTCAGAAACCTTTGTGATAGATTCTCCCAATTACCGAGTCTAGAGAAGCAGAGACGTATAACCGATACGTTTATTCACTAGATACCGAAGGTGAACTGTGTTTACGCCGGTAACTTAATCATGATCAGGATGGCGAATTAGGTTAAACAAACAGAGGTTAATGATTGGTCACTGTTTGTACGGTCGCACCTCCCAATCCTGGCGTGTAGGCATGCGATGACGTAGCACCTCCCAATCCTGCCGTGCAGGCATGCGATGACGTGTCCCATCTCCCAGTCCTGGCGTGCAGGCATGCGATGACGTGTCCCACAAGGCTTAGGCATGCGATGACGTATTAAGCTATGACGTGTCCCACATATCCTATACTTGCCATTATCTTTCCTTACAACAAATCGGCTTAAAGGTAAATACAACAGTATATTTTCACTATGCTTTCTTCGTATTCAAGTCATTTTTATCACTTATAGCCATGAATCTTATGAAATAGTTTAAAGTGGAAATAGTTTAGAGATTTCAATAGATTCATTGTTTCAGGATGACCAACTTATAAGTGATATATATATATTCCATAGACAATCCCCTTTTAATTAATGAATTTCGTGTGATCTGTTCATTATTACCAAAGTACCTGACAAAATAGTTAAAGATTATTAGTTTTGGATTTCAGGAGCAAATTAAAATTGACGAGGCAATGGATAAAGTTTGTCATATTAATAACGTAAAAGTGATATTGCAATGGTATGAAATAAATGTCGAATTTTCGATACGTGGAAAAGCACTATCTGAGTTTCTTTGCAGTTTTAAAGATTATTTTTGATGAATGCGATCAGAAGGTGATTTCATGAAATCTTTATGAAATAGTCGTCCATAAAGTTATCTACTAGAATGCATGAATGGCTCGCTTCATTTGCTATAACGAAAAATTATTATCTTTACATCTTTTACATCTGTGAATCGCTCTTCTGTTCCCCACCCCTCGACTTTCTGCTACTTTGATGAACCTTCCCTCTGTGAAGCCCGAAGTCAGCTAAATGGCTAATGATAGCTATCAAAACGCTTTCCATTTGAAATAAACAAATCTTTACAAATGCCAGAACCGCGACCTGGATTATGGTGGATAACCAAGTCAAAAATGTGGCATTACAAAATAGTAAAACCGCCATCCACTTTTTTGCCTAGCTTGTTTTATAAATGTACCTTCATGAATGCGCCGCTTTATGGACAAAAGCATAAAAACATTTAAATAATGTTCTACCATGGTTATGGAGTGTAAGGATGTTGGTTGAAGTTGAGGGGACTTGTGTGAAGCTCGTTCTCTAAAAGGTTTGTGAATTTAGACCAGTCGGCCTTCTTGAAGTTCCATGATAGCTTAGTTGGCACTTTCCTTGTCATGCTTTTGCTTCCGATGGTAATACTTGCAATGACTGGTTTGTGACCAGAAAGAGGATCGTCAATTATTTTGCGGTGCGTATGCTCGCTGATGTCGCTTGAAGCTAGGAGTAAGTCAGGAGTTGTTCTGGTTTCATTGTAGTGCTGATATGTAGCAGGATACTCATTGCTATAAATAAGTTCAGGGGTGTTGCTGTCTAGCATGTCCTTGATTTCCTTTCTAGCTAGGTTAGTATTCTTATAGCCCCATCTGGTGGAATGAACGTTAAAATCTCCTGATACTACAGTTTTGTGTGAGGTGTACAGAAAATCAAAGTTGGGACAATTCTGGGGTGGATTATAGACTGTTTTTGGCATTTCCAAACATTCAATCTGATTATTTCGCGAATGTCTTGCATCGAATCTATGCTCTTGATTAGATCGTAATGTGATGTGAGGTCTTCTTTTACTCCAGTCAGAATTCCATTTGCAACTTGCCGGTATTTAGGTAGAAGGTATAAGGTGTAACCTGGGAAATGGTAGTATTTCAGTTTGTCATCCTTAAGGTTTGCTTCCATGATTGTGAATATGCCTATATTATAGGCATTTAGGAT